GAGCGGTCCATGAGGCGTCTATGCTTATATTATGTCTATGTGAATAATGACGTTGCATGTTTCTTAATTACTTAAGTGCGATTTTAATTGACATGACGCCGGCTCCCCCCACATGTGGACGTACAGCAATTATGAAAATAAATAAACACATTCCTACCCCATTTTGAGCATGATATGTTAACTGAAACAAAAAAATCTGTATTTTCTCTTCTTTCTTATGCACTTCTTGTTACTGTGCACTATTTTATTTTATATTTGTATCATGTTCGAATAAAAAATTTCATTTCATTTCATTTCACAAGTGAATAAAGAAAACTACTTAGGTATTCCATTTGTTATAAATGTTATTTTATCCTAAACACTGTTGTAATCTGGCTAACAGCTCAATGCTAACGGTTCAAGGCTAACTGCTGAATGCTAATGGCTCGACGCTAACAGTTCAAGGCTAACTGCTAAGCAAATAAACACAACTCTGTCTGATTAAAATAAAAATGTTATAATAAAAACAATCATTTCCAGATCAATAAGTTAAGGAAGTCATGCTCGATTTTATGTGTAAATTCTAATGGTAGCTCTATGGCAGCATGAAACATAAGCTGCACTAACTGCGGTATCTACATTTAAGCACCTTTTTATGCTGCTGTTTATTTTTAAGCATTTTCCTGAAGGCAGATTTTCACAAGCCCGTATTATTTTTTAGTCATTACTCACCTGTTTGTACGTGCAAAATGCGTCCAACACAGCTATCAAGTTCACATCGTTTTTCCTCTTGGGCTTGATCATTTATTTTTTCTCCGTTGTTTCCGCTAATAACCTTACAGACGTGACGCAGGACTCCTTAGAATTGTCTAGCCCGCAGTCTTTGCTTCATTGTTGGCTGATAAGGCAAATGTGACTCAAGCAATGTCGCGTACCGCCATTATTATACTGTTTGTCGGGGTTTGCTGTATGTCTGCATGGGGGGCGGAGCCAGGTGTTTCGTCGGATCAGTTGCGTTTCTTTTGTAACGGAAACACCGCCATTGCAAAATTGTGTTTTTGACATTAGTTATCGACAAAGTTTTGCACACATTTGTAATGAAAATGCAGCGAATGACATCAGGCTCATGACCTCTACAGAGAACATGTGCAAAAACTCTAAAATTTGATCAAAAATAAAGTTTTAAAGACGCTTGCTTATCGAGTCTTTGACCTCATTAGACACTCACTGGGCCTAGTCTGATGTTTTAGGCAAAGTTTTCCGTTTCAACAATTTAAAACGTAATTTTTTTTGTTTTTACTAGACATTTTTCAGAATTTAGTGCGGATGAATTAAAATGCAGCCGTTGGCTCGAGGTTTGAAATAAGTAGGAATGGCGACTCCATGCCAGCCCTTATCTTCCAACATCTGCACATAACTCAGTTAATGTTATTGTGGCTGACTTGAGATTAAATCCCTCTAAAAAACATCTAGAACACTGCCTTCCAAGAGAAATGGAGACTGTAATTAACTTCATTTTGTTGGATGCTAAAATGTCAAATTTGGGTTGACGGTCATGGGTGAGGATTCAGATATAAATGACGTACAAGAGACCTGATGCTTGTTAAAGATTTTAGATTTCTCTTTAAATAAAATGAAAAATGCCCAGCGGGATGTAATGCCTTGTAATCAAGCAGACATGAGAAATCCAGTAAATAGAGATAGAGATAGATAGATAGCATTTATTGTCACTGAACAGAATTCAACGAAATTTCCATTCCATTAAATATTAGCTATAGCTAGAATTTCATTATCTTTTTAAGCAGTTGTCTTCAAAGTAAATTACTGTAAATTATAGTATGCTATTTAAAGACCAAAAGTGTCACAAAAGTCAAAAACAGTAGCTTAACAATCGTTAAACAACATGGTGATGACAAACTGACTACTCGTAAATATTTTCATAAATAAAATACAGAATCAAAGAGTAGTCAACAGAATTAAAAAGATACAGAGTTTGAAATAATTAATAAATGATAAAGGTGTCCTTTGTTTTTAATTCAATTTCAGTGTATTAAAAGGATTCACTTTGGTGGCCTTCAGATTTTCATCGTTCATTTTATTATTTTCTCCACTGTTTTTGCAATCAGATAAATCAATAAATATCAATAAACTTCAAAATATGATGAAATCGCATTTACTGTGTGCAGTCTAGTGACACAAATCACAGTTCTTTATGTGACTGGTTTCAAATGGAAATGTTTTTCAAGACCAGTTTCTCTGTTTGTGAGGCTGTAGTGACACACAGTCAAGGCCGTACAGTTACCCAAAAGTAGCGTAATTAATAGTTCTTATCGTCACTTTTATCACTATTACAATAGTCCCACAAAATATAATGATAAACTTCAAGTCATGTCACCCACTCCTAGTTGAAATGTTATTATTTTACAAGAAAAACGTGAAAGAATGCATCTAAAAATCAATGTTGCATATATCAAAGAAAGTTTTGCTCCTTTTTTTTCTTCCCAATTACATTACAACTCACAGCCTTTATGACATAAATCTCAGAGGAAATGTTACATATGTAAACTAAAGCAGAAGCTGGTTACTTTAGAGCAGGGGTGTCCAAATTGCGGCGCAGGAACCATTTATGGCCCTGCAAAAAATAAAAAAATGTGCAGCAGAGGGGGTTGAAGCAGATGCAATTTTTTTATTTTTAATAAGAGTAAAGAGTATAGTTGTATTGCAATGGAACATGTTGATGTCTTTTTATAACCAAGCTTTAATAATAAGCAGAACCACGTTGGTCCATACATTTTTACTGGAAATCAAATTTTGATGCACTTAAATCAACTTTTATTTAACTTATTAAACTGAGCTCAATATAGCATGTGTTTTGAAAAGAAACTTACCAACAATTTGTTCAATCAAGATTAACTTTCTTTTAATACAAAAATGTGCAAATCCATTTTTAAGTGCAAAATCCCTTTTCTACAAAAAACACCACCAAAACTGGTGTCTTAATTTTTGACTTTTTTGCCCCTTAGGTTCTTTTGACATGTCAGTTTTGTCCCTTTGAAAAAACTTTGGACACCCCTTACTATAGAGCAAGACTCTCAATGAAAAAACTGGTATAAAATCTAATTTTTTCTCCTTTTTTTGAATATATTTGACCTGATTCTGTACAGCAATCAGACCCATCATGTTACTTACCTAAGTTGCCACAACAGGAAACACACACATGCACAACTAAACAATATAAGACTCTAGAAATTACAGGACGTCTTGGTTTTCGCATTGAAAACCAAGTAGCTTACTCTCCAGTAGCTTACTGACAACCAATATGTTTCCCTCCAAGTTGGTTTCTGCTGCAGAAACTTGTGGGCTAGTTGTTAGTTTTTGGAAGTATGCATGAAACCAAAGAAAGTAGCAGCCAGGAACATGCAAACAATGACCTTAAAAAGCCTAAAGAAGCAGCACAGATTGAAGGTTTAACATGTGGGTTTATTTCTGCAGGAAAAGTCCATTAACTAAAGGTCTAACACTGATTCATTGGGCGGTTCTGAATGCAACTTTGAGGTTAAAAACCCAAATCAGAGTCTGAGGGGAGGTTTCTTTAAAGGAGGAAGCATTACCAGCTATTACAGCCAGATGCCTTTTAGAGGTCAGAGGGCAAATTTAGGAAATGCACAGAGGCTGTCTTGTCCTTATAATGATGAATGGACCCTGGGGGAATTTACGTCTTTAAAGGTGTTTGTGTCTTTGAGCTTCAGTTGCAAAAACTAATTAAAAGGTGCCAAAAAGCCTAGCTATAAGGCAGACCTAACATCTTTTCTTATGTCTATTTTATGCAACTTATGTTTAATTATATTAATTTAATTCACAGCATGAAAATTTGTTTTCTTTTACTGGAATGACAGCAAACAGTCTGGACTCCTCAGCCTTAAAATACATTAAAATGGTCTTTATCTCTAGACTACTATCAGTCAAACTCAGAGTTATTTTATTTAAATAATAAAATTATGATTATTAACTTTCTTTTTTTATGGTTTTATTTCAAATCCAATTTCAGTTGCTTACATACATTTTCGAAGCTTCTGGTTTAAGGACTAGTTAAAATGAAGTGGATGTATGTCACATACAGAACATGAATGAAAGAAATAATGTGAAGCTTTCTGCTGTTTTATCATACAAACTCCCAATAAAATCTTGAAATTTATTTTTATTTCACAGGTATTTCAACCTGTGGCTCTTTGGTTCTTGCAAAACCAAAAAGGAAATGTTTTTGATTATACAAGAAATGGTCTTTAAGAAGTTTTTTCTGTAACTTATTTTGCAAAATCTGCTTTTAATATCTACTAGAGATGCACCAATCCGATATTAATATCAGTATTGGAACCAGTATTTTAAAAAATTCTAGATCAGATATTGTTGACAATGTGTCCAATCAACAGTTACTTTTAGCTTATAAGCTAGTTAAAAGCTTTTAAAGCTTAAATATTTTAAAGTAATTAGTTCTTTAAAAGATAGTTACTTTTAGCTAGCTGTTAACTAGTTACTTTTAAGTAGCTCAAAAGGTAGTTAAAAGCTAAAGTAAATAGCTTTTAAACCAGTTAAAAGTAAATAGCGTTTAAGCTACTTATTATAATTATATGGTAAATATTCTATAAATATTTTTAGAAAAGTCTCACCTCATTCTACAATATTATATTCTTTTCATTCATTCATTTTGTTCTAAATCTGAAAGTAGCAAAAACCATTGTTTAATTTTGTTAACTTTCATAGTAAAACAAAGTTAGAAAATCGTTTTATGGCTCTAGGTGAGTTTTATTCTATGGCAGGTTGCTAAGCCCTGTTGTAACGTGACAAAGTATGAAAAAAAGTTCAACCAGTGTACGTTTTATTTTTCTTTATCTTACCTTGTGATTTAGAAAACTCATCTTTGTGACCTCCTGTGAACTTGGTGGCAACCAGGATGACGACAGTGCAGACCAGAGCAGTCCTCCATAGCTTTTCCATGGTTACTACAGTATTTGCTATAGTAACAGACTTCAGTGCGGTGGTCCTCGGTCCTCTGTCCCAACATGTCTCCTGCCCTGTCGGATGCCCCGTCGCCTAGCAGAGGGACAGCTCAGCGCTCGGTTGGGCCATGGCTGCAGGATGATCAGAGACTCTCTGCACCTACAGCGTGTCTGTCTGTCACTGAGCGATGGCGAAGCTCCTCATAGACGGAGAAAACACCAGACTTGACTTCTGCAATGGGGGTGAAGCAGCAGCGCTGGCAGCTTTTCGGCCTCTCTCCGCTGCCCTGTGGAAGAGGAACGGTTTAGGAGGAAAGCCGGTAAAGTGAATGACAGCGAGCGGTGGGACGAATTTAGACTGAAAGAGGAGGGAGGAGTAGAGAAAACTAAACATATCCACAGACAGAGAGAGCATGAGATCCGTCTGACACAGGGCTGGACGATGCAGCTGACAAACGTATCACGATATCCTCCTGGCTACCAGTAGTTCATTTTTGTCCTCTGTAGAGGACATTTCTAAACTTGAATATCTCCCACCCCCTGCATTCTACTGAATTAATTCCTTTTGGTATTTAGAGAGGACATTTAGGGCTTTTCAATGATACCACATGTGAAGGAGTGAGACTTTTGTACGTACCTTTTTCTAATTCATAAAAATGGCATTCATCAGTAATAACAAATTTTATGGGAACAGACAAAGTAAGTGCATAAAACCTTTTATTACCTTGGACAATATTTTTTTTCCTGGTAGTCAGGAGGATATGTCTTTTTTACTGCAGTGAGCCTCGATGTAGCCAATCTCAGTCAAGTATGGCATTGTTTTTAT